TAGCTATAAGAATTAGACAAATAAATAAAATAAAATAAAATACAATACAATTTCACCCATAATTATTCAAACTAGCTACTCAGTTACCTTAGACTCTAATGTTTAGCATTTTCCCAGTGGGTAATAGAATTACAAGATAATGTTCTCCATTCATTTGAATCACTGAAGTAGGTCACAGAGTCAGGTGGCCTTACACAATATCCTTGTGAACAGGAGATGGACAAGAAAACACTGCTTATTTGAATAAACAATTCTAGTTGGAGTTTGTCCATGTGATCTCCCTGAATGTGATAGCACTTAACACTGACATAATATTGAGGTATTGTGTACATGATATCATCAGTTATCAGCCAAGCAACCCCGTACATTAAGATAAAGGTGCAAATCATTCAATATCATTCTAGAATAGATTGATATCACACAAACAACAAAAACATATATGCTCAGTAAAAAAAGAAAAACATCTAAAAATTCTTTGAATGCATGCTTATTGTAACAGGGTTGTGCAGATGTCAAACTGATATTTCAGAAACAGATAGGTCAACCTAATCTTTATAATAACCTGTGTACAAAGTAGTATGGACATTGACTGATCTGAAGTAACAGGTAAGCAGGAAGTTCTACGAAACTAAGTTATTTGTTTCATTCCAAGGTAATCTTGGAGGACTTATATAAACATGATTCCTTTCATTGAACTAATAGGTTCTGATTTTTAAAATATGTATATTTTGAGTATACTTATCCATGGAAGACTCCTGGAAGGTCCAAACATTTGGATACTTAAGAGGGCATCTGGTAACAGTTATTTTTTTCAACCACAAAACAGTGATATGAAAATAGACCTATAATCTGTTAGTTTTATGTATGAGATGTTATGTAGCATATTATCATTTCCATGTCTAATAAGCATTCTCAGACAGTTTGGAGCTCCTGTATCTGGTCCAATACAAATATATTGGCAAAGTAATCCATTATGGAACTAATTCCAGAGTTTTAATATTTGATTTTCAACCTGCAAATGTTAATTATATAAGCCAGGTGCCACAGCACTGAAAACCAAGTGTTTGAAATGCTAAACCTTTGTCAAATTGAATATCTGTATCATCACATTGTGACTATTTTTGCTAAATATTACTCAGGGTACTTTTTATCCTGCCTCAAGCTATCTACAGGCAGTTGTGAATGCCAAATTATGTTTTAAACCAACACAAATCCACATTTTGGATCCGACAGTGCCACGGTAGTATGCTATTATCCACAATTCAATCTCCAAAGATTTCACTGCCCAATCTTGAAATACCACGTCTTTTCTTCACTGGAAATCAAGGCAGTCTCTACCCCGACACAGGGGTATGTGAATCCTTCCAGCTAAAACAGTCGGATTTATTAACAGAATGCGAATCAGCTGAAACAGGGTGACATCATCTAAGGATTGTGGGTAATATGGAAAGATCTGTTTGAATCCCACTTGTGAAAACGCCCTTGACAGCGGCTTGCTTAGACTACCCTCCTACACACCCACCCCAGAGCAGCTCCCCGCTCCCCGCGCTCAGGGCGTAGGTCCGAGGACTGTAATAAAGTCCACTGAGGTGTTCGCTTTCCTTACCGTCCACCAGCTCGTCGAGGCTGGAGACCTTTCGGCTGCCATCGATAGTATAGATGGCCCGGACGCCCTGGGGCAGGTTGACGTTGTCGGACAGAGACCTCGTGAGCTCGACGAGGAGGGCATCGAAGGAGCGGAAGCGGTCGCTGGCAATCGGATACACCGAGCCCTTGAAGTACTTATCCCCGTTGCGGTAGAAGCGCGCCTTTTTGGCTTTCTTCTCCGAGCTGAGGGCCTGGAGGGTGCGCGTGCGGTAGAAGCTGCAGTGGGCGCTGTGCGCGGGGCTGGGGATGAGCCCGTTGCCTTTGGGCCCGGAGCTGCTGCTGCAAGTGGAGCTGCCCCCTCCCCGGCGGGAGCTCGAGCGCTGCTGCCTTTTGTCTCGCTCCTCGAAATGCTCCAGCTCAATGCTCCTGCGCGGGCTGGCCATTTAAGGGCTTTTGTCGCCTCCACCACACACCCCCGGCTCCCCAAATGAAACGAAGGATGAAAAACAAAAGCCTAAAAGCCGCCTCTTCTGCTCAAGCCCCCTGCCCACCGAGACGACCTGGAGTGGACAGCCTGCGCAGCATTCCGGCAAAACGAGGGCAGGAGAGGTCGGTCCCTCTGCGGCTCAGCGTCTACGCGACCCTTCCCCCGAGATGCAATAGCAGCAGCCCCAAGCTGTGCCCGGGACTCCGTGTCCATCAGGAGACGGCAGGTCGTTCTCTTAAGTCACGCCCGCGCAAGCACCGAAACGGGGCCCCCGAGCACTTTCTGGGAGCCGCCGCCGCAGCTCAGCATCTCGCAGCCTGCAGGCAGCCGCAAGAACTTAACGCGAGCAGCATCCGCTTGGGGACTCCCGCTATTAGCCGCTGAGGCTCCAGCAAGCCCCCGGGCAGCTTCCATCCAGCTTTAAGCGCATGCACGAAGCAGAGAAGATGCAGCTAGCGGCGTCCCCGTGAAGTCATTCCGTTCTCTGCTTGGAGCTACCGAGAAAGGAGGTGGGGACGCCGCGGTCTTTCCATGGCCCCGCCCCCTAGAAGCGACCCGAATTTTAGCCGGAATCTCAGCTGACTGCTGCACCACGCTAAGATAACAACGGTAGCACGCGAGCCGAACCAGCCGTTTGTTGTTTTTGCGCCTCAAGCCAAAGCTATCCAAGCCCCTCTTTCGGCCAAGGCTGTGGCGCGGCCGCGCAGGCGCATGCACGACCCAGCCGACGGCCCCAGCCGGACCGGGCAGATATCCCTGCCAGTAATAGAGCCGCCGCGAGCGCCCTCCGTAAGGATCTTAGGAAAGCTGCTGTTTCGTGCAGGGAGGAAACAGGCTTCCTCTCTCACCCCTTTCCTGTGCCTGCAACCCCTTCGGAAACCAGGCGCGGAGACTCCAACAGGAGGAGCGAGCGACGGACACGACCCGGCCAGTGCGCGCTAATAGCAATGCAGCGTGTAAGGGAGAGCTGCAACGGTTGCCGCAGGGTCCTAAAATAACTTGGCTTCGGCTAAGAGCTCCATGATAACCAGGCTGATTGTTTCCCTTGTAACCCTCATCCATGGGAGTTGTTTTTGGCTGGCCTGATGAGAAAATTCACCCAGTGAGAACCAGATCATTATGATACATTCAACAAAAAATAGTTTAAAAACCCATGTCTTACATGAACTGACATACATGAACAGAACAAGAGTTTAACTAGATATACTTTCCATTAAATAATTTCATTCCTGTCATATTATTCCTGGTATGCGTCACGAGATATTCTGCGATAAAGTAGTATCCAGGATACATTCATTTTGCCTCTCTGTGAACTCCTGCCACATGTGATTTTAAAGCTTTAATCATTTTTTGTATTTCTCTGCCCACTTTTATTTATCACATTACTTGGCAAATGGTTCTTGAAAATTTTAAAAATTCAGACAGTGTTTAATAACTTTAACCTAAAAGTTAAAGTTGCTGTAGCATGTTTTTTTATTTATATGTAACATATTTTGTTTTATTTATTTTTGTTTTATTTATTTACAGTTAAAATATACAGTTATGTATATTTTATATATATAAAACACTGTTGATTTAAAAAAAAAAGATTGATTTATTTATAAATCACATTTGTATTGCCGCCCATCTCACACAAAGTGACTCTGGGCAGCGTACAACAATTAAAATAAAATAGCAAGTGAATAAAAACAGGTATTATAAAAAGATAAAAAGTTATTATTAGAATCAAAACATTATCACACATTTTAAAAAATAAATTTTAACATATACAAACCCCACGGAGAGAGCAGAATACCAATTACAGTGGAGCCATCTAAGAATATCTCCGGTTCCCAAAGACCCCCAGGCCTGATGACACAACCAGGTCTTGAGGGACTTCCTAAAGGACAGCAGGAAAGGGGATCCCCTCACTTCAGGGGGAAGAATTTTCCACAAGGAGGGGCCCACGGCAGAGAAGGCCCGCCTCCTGGGATCCACCAAAT